GGGGGGGGGGGCTGTATATCCCGATGAAAATATTCCTCCCGTTGGCTTCGCACAGGATCGAACTTAATTTTGAGCTGGCGCGATAACGAGGATCCCGGCAGGATTACGGGTTGCGCGTGCCTGCGGCTGACTCGGGATAAAGTGTAACGTCACTCCGTTCGCTTTGGCGCCGTGAAGGGTGGCGCAATCAATCTTCCCTAGGTGCTTTAAGGGAGCTTTTCGCGATGCCGTTTCTCAGGAGTGCCCGTGTCGGTGTGCGTGCTTCTTTTTTTTTTTTTCTTTTTTTTTTCTTCCGTCCTCTCGCTTCCCCTTCGTCTTGCTGTACCATAATTTCTCCACCCCTCTTCCGCTGCTCCCTCCCACGGTCGCCCATCCGCCCACCCCTCAAATCTTAACTTTCAGCACAACAGCCCCCAATCTATATTTCGTAAATTCCAAGTCGCGAAAATTAACTCCGCCTTTTTTCCGTTCCTCGTTAAGAGGTCAATAGGGGGTCGGCTGGGCCCGTCGAAGGAGCCACGGAATCATCTCGTTGAAGCGACAATGAAAAATCCTTAAGGAACTTTGGTGTCAATTAACGCATAAGGGGTTTTGCCGCAGTTATCACAGAGAGAGGATCCAGGTGGGTGTACGGGGTACGCGTGTATAGTCAGAGGCGCTCATGCCTGATAACGGGTATACAGCCGGTACACCGGGTAGTCATCCAGTGGCTGGAATGACGTCATAACGAAAATGTCGGGCAATTTTTGTTTTAATGTGATGGCGAATAGGGGTGTTTTCGAGGGTGAGAAAAATTTTCATTTTTTTCTACCCTGCGCCTCTTTGACTCTCTCTTGTCGGCCGTAACCTTTTTCATCTCCAGCATCCCACTTTGTCTCCCCGTCATCCCCCGTGGACCTAATGCATCCCCTCTCAAGGTTCTCTCGTTTCCCAATCCCACGAGCACCTTGGAATTCCCCTTTTGCGCGCGTCTCCCGCGACTGAGATTTTCTGCATCGCCGTGCCGACTGTTTATATCGTCCTCGTGTCCACGAGCCATGAAGATCGAGTTCGCTCTTGGCGGCTAGAGCAAGAGATAATGGACCCGGATGCTGCGCGTCCTTAACCACTTAAATTCGGGACGAAGCGCAGTTTCCTCCTCGTCCGTCCGGCAACCCTTGCGGCCTTGGTAATGAATTGATGATAGTCGGTGACGCGGGGGGAGTCGCCCTCCGCTAAGGGATGACGATGGGCTCCTGTAGGCAATAGGGGTGGCTGGGGGTGGTAACGGCTGGGCCAGGATTTCACTTTGGTAATAAAGTGCCGATCTCCTCGAGTTGCTGGCATGGGCTTGGACAATGCCCGTAAGTGCCGGCAGGAGGGGATGGACGGTCGAAGAAGAAAAGCTTAACGAGGGGAGAAAAAGCCGGAAAATTTGTCGGCAAGTCTGAGCTTTTCCGTTGTCGGGACAAATTTCTCAAGATAAATTATATTCTCTTGTTTTGCGAAATTCTTCGCGGGATCAATTTTTCCGTCGAGTTCGCGGCGATCGGTGTGAAATTTTTTTGTTTAATATCGAATTCGAATAGATCGACTTTTTTGTTGGATTTGTTAGGAAAAATTTATTGAATCGCCAGGAGTTTGATCCGTCGATACGATTTTACGAGACAGGGTCAAAGGTCAAAGCGAATTAATTCTTGGTCGTGTTAAAATGTCTGTCAGTGATCTTTATTACCGATCGGCGAATCGGGACGTGATACTTTCTTTGAACCCTTTCGCTCTACGTATACTATATGTATATCGAAGGACTCCTCGTACAGTCACGTTAGTTGCTGTAGCGCCTATTCGTGACGCGCAGTGATTCGCTCAAAGCGTTTCGTGACTCGTGCACGCGCGTGCCGGGAGCAGGAGCCGTAAACATGCCCACTCGATGCCGCATGTTATATTAAAGTGAGTTTTCAGAGCTGCAG